CGCGTGGGGCGTAGGCCAGGGGGCCTCGGGTGGCAGCCCACGCTGAGGGAACCTCGTTGTCTCCGGTGCTACTCATTCATTCGCTGGGTAGAGGTGAGCAGCCCGCGGTAGGCTGGCCCTTGCGGGGATGGTGCCTTGGGGACTCAGTGAGGTCCCCCCCCCATCACTTCTTTGACCACTCTACAGTACGCGTCTTGTCTAGGGTTAACCAGAGGGTTGAGTGAGTCGGAAGTGCGTTAGCTTTTTAAGACATTGTCTGGCGATTGGAGGGGTCTGGTCAACCGAATGAAAGGTTCTTTTCTGTTCTGCCGCATGTTCGTGTAAACCGAGGTGAGAAAGATTGGATTCTTGAATTACTGTAGCCATAGCGTTTAAGACATTCTATGTCAATGCCCCCATTCTGCATCACGTGCAGAGGTTTTGTAAGGTGGGAGAGGACTCAGTAATGGCAGATGTCTTGACTCAAGCCTAGAATTTTTATACTATTCCACCCTCCCTGTATGTTCCAGTCTCTCATTATTGGCTGTTCTGTATTTGGTAGGGGGAAGGAAACGGACATTTGACATAGTGTTCAAAACATTTCCATTTAGGTGCTACCATTTTTGCTTATATAGTAAGATAATAGAACTTTATTAGTATTACCTCGATGTAAACTTTTGGGGAGCTCGGGGAGACAAGATCTCATTCAAATCCTGGTTGATCTGGAATTCACTATGTAGGTTTGCCACGAAACCAAAGAAACCACTTGCCTCTACCTCCTCGGTGCTGGGATTAAAGGTCTTTGCCATTACAACCAGCCCTAACCTAGACTTTTGAGAACTAAACTTTAAAAATAGTTCAAGAGGCAGGCTTAGTGATGCACGCCTTTCATCCCAATACTTGAGAGGCAAAGGCAGGCGGCTCTCTCTGAGTTCAAGGCTAGCCTACTCTACATACTGAGTTCCAGGACAGCCAGAGCTGCACATAGAGACACTGCCCAAAAAAACCCAGGCGTTGGGGGTGAGTAAACCCAATATAGGGGCTGCTGGAGAGACCCCTCAGCAGTTATGAACACTGACTGCTCTTCCAGAGGAGCTGTGTCAATTCCCAGCACCCACATGGCAGCTAACTGTCTGTGACTCCCAAGTTCTGACACCCTCACATAGACATAGATGAAGGCAAAACATCAATTCATATAAAACAAAAATAATTTTTTTTTTTTTTTTTTTTTTTTTTTTTTTTTGGACCCGTTTTTTTTTGTTACTTTTGGGGC